TAGAAGAGTCTGAATAAAACGCCTGATTTGAACTTCGGCTTCGTTACTTTTTAAATATTTGAGTTTAACGAGGATTTTCACCGAAATACATACATCCTTAAAATTTGAGGTTTTTTTGCGATCGTTTACAAAACATTTAAAAATTTGCAATAATTTGTGTTGCTTGTCACATCAGCACCTGAATCAGTGTGGTGTGGACGTGGATTGTGACTAGAGCAGCTCTCTCACTTTGCTGAGGTGGTTGCCGAGCTCTCCAGAACCTAACTCGGTTAGGCCTCGGGAAGAGACTACATATATACGAGTATCATACGAGTACGCTACGAGTGTGTTACGAGCCCCACAGGAGTCCAATAGGAGTTCAATAGGAGCCTATTAAGAGTTGCATACGAGCACAACGATCTCGATACGAGTTTGGTACGACTTTAGTACGAGGTGGCTACGAGCTGCGAAATAATTCGGCGGTAATTACTCTCGCACAGCTCGTATTAGACTCGGTCAACTCGGCAATAAATTTTGCAGAGTTCTGTACGAGCACCACGAGGTCGCCACGAGGGTACTACGAGTAGGACGAGTGTGTTACGAGTTTGTTACGTGTTTACTAGGAGTTGGCTGGCGGCCCAACTGTTTTGAGCAGTTCCAAAACTCTCGTAGATCAGTACGAGGTATCCCGATTTACCCCGAGTTTAGTACGACCTCGCTACAAGCTCCATATGAGTATCCCGGAGTCAACTCGGGTCCATACTCGGGACACAACTAGGAAAAGTGTGAGAGCCCCTTTAGATATTTGTAAATTGACGGTGGTTCGTGAGTGTGGTGTTAAAGGGATTCTGATTGTAGTGTCACGGTGATTCGTGAGTGTGGTGTTAAAGCGATTCTGATTGTAGTGTCACGGTGATTCGTGAGTGTGGCGTGAAAGGGATTCTGATTGTAGCGTCACGGTGATTCGTGAGTGGTGTTAAAGGGATTCTGATTGTAGTGTCACGGTGATTCGTGAGTGGTGTTGAAGGGATTCTGATTGTAGTGTCACGGTGATTCGTGAGTGTGGTGTTAAAGGGATTCTGATGTAGTGTCACGGTGATTCGTGAGTGGTGTTAAAGGGATTCTGATTGTAGTGTCACGATGATTCATGAGTGGTGTTGAAGGGATTCTGATTGTAGTGTCACGGTGATTCGTGAGTGTGGTATTAAAGGGATTCCGATTGTAGTGTCACGGTGATTCGTGATTGTGGTGTTAAAGGTATTCTGATTAAAGTGTCAAGGTGATTCGTGAGTGTGGTGTTAAAGGGATTCTGATTGTAGCGTCACGGTGATTCGTGAGTGGCGTTGAAGGGATTCCTATTGTAGTGTCACGGAGATTCGTGAGTGTGGTGTTGAAGGGATTCTGAATGTAGTGTCACGGTGATTCGTGAGTGTGGTGTTAAAGGGATTCTGATTGTAGTGTCACGGTGATTCGTGAGTGGTGTTAAAGGGATTATGAATGTAGTGTCACGGTGATTCGTGAGTGTGGTGTTAAAGGGATTCTGATTGTAGTGTCACGGTGATTCGTGAGTGTGGTGTTGAAGGGATTCTAAATGTAGTGTCACGGTGATTCGTGAGTGTGGTGTTAAAGGGATTCTGATTGTAGTGTCACGGTGATTCGTGAGTGTGGTGTTGAAGGGATTCTAAATGTAGTGTCACGGTGATTCGTGAGTGTGGTGTTAAAGGGATTCTGATTGTAGTGTCACGGTGATTCGTGAGTGTGGTGTTAAAGGGATTCTGATTGTAGTGTCACGGTGATTCGTGAGTGTGGTGTTAAAGGGATTCTGATTGTAGTGTCACGGTGATTCGTGAGTGTGGTGTTTAAGGGATTCTGATTAAAGTGTCACGGTGATTCGTTAGTGTGGTGTTAAAGGGATTCTGATTGTCGTGTCACGGTAATTCGTGAGTGTGGTGTTAAAGGGATTCTGATTGTAGTGTCACGGTGATTCGTGAGTGTGGTGTTGAAGGGATTCTGATTGTCGTGTCACGGATATTCGTGAGTGGTGTTAAATGATTCTGATTAAAGTGTCACGGTGATTCGTAAGTGGTGTTAAAGGGATTCTGATTGTAGTGTCACGGTGATTCGTGAGTGGTGTTAAAGGGATTCTGATTGTAGTGTCACGGTGATTCGTGAGTGTGGTATTAAAGGGATTCCGATTGTCGTGTCACGGTGATTCGTGAGTGTGGTGTTAAAGGGATTCTGATTGTAACGTCACGGTGATTCGTGAGTGGTGTTGAAGGGATTCTGATTGTAGTGTCAAGGTGATTCGTGAGTGTGGTGTTAAAGGGATTCTGATTGTAGTGTCACGGTGATTCGTGAGTGTGGTGTTGAAGAAATTCTGAATGTAGTGTCATGGTGATTCGTGAGTGTGGTGTTAAAGGGATTCTGATTGTAGTGTCACGGTGATTCGTGAGTGTGGTGTTGAAGGGATTCTGATAGTAGTGTCACGGTGATTCGTGAGTGTGTTGTTAAAGGGATTCTGATTGTCGTGTCACGGAGATTCGTGAGAGGTGGTAAAGGATTCTGATTGTCGTGTCAAGGTGGATCGTGAATGTGGTGTTAAAGGATTCTGATAGTCGTGTCACGGTGATTCGTGAGTGGTGTTAAAGGATTCTGATTGTAGTGTCACGGTGATTCGTGAGTGTGGTGTTGAAGGGATTCTGATCGTAGTGTCATGGTGATTCGTGAGTGTGGTGTTGAAGGGATTCTGAATGTAGTGTCACGGTGATTCGTGAGTGTGGTGTTAAAGGGATTCTGATTGTAGTGTCACGGTGATTCGTGAGTTTGGTGTTAAAGGGATTCTGATTGTAGTGTCACGGTGATTCGTGAGTGTGGTGTTAAAATGATTCTGATTGTAGTGTTACGGTGATTCGTGAGTGTGGTGTTTAAGGGATTGTGATTAAAGTGTCACGGTGATTCGTGAGTGTGGTGTTAAAGGGATTGTGATTAAAGTGTCACGGTGATTCGTGAGTGTGGTGTTAAAGGGATTCTGATTGTAGTGTCATGGTGGATCGTGAGTGTGGTGTTAAAGGATTCTGATTGTCGTGTCTGGCGATTCGTGAGTGTGGTGCTAAAGGGATTGTGATTAAAGTGTCACGGTGATTCGTGAGTGTGGTGTTAAAAGGGATTCTGATTGTAGTGTCACGGTGATTCGTGAGTGTGGTGTTGAAGGGATTCTGATTGCAGTATCACGGTGATTCGTGAGTGTGGTGTTAAAGGGATTCTGATTGTCGTGTCACGGTGATTCGTGAGTGTGGTGTTAAAGGATTCTGATTGTAGTGTCACGGTGATTCGTGAGTGTGGTGTTGAAGGGATTCTGATTGTAGTGTCACGGTGATTCGTGAGTGTGGTGTTGAAGGGATTCTGAATGTAGTGTCACGGTGATTCGTGAGTGTGGTGTTAAAGGGATTCTGATTGTAGTGTCAAGGTGATTCGCGAGTGTGGTGTTAAAGGGATTCTGATTGTAGCGTCACGGTGATTCGTGGGTGTGGTGTTAAAGGGATTCTGATTGTCGTGTCACGGTGATTCGTAAGTGGTGTTGAACTGATTCTGATTGAAGTGTCACGGTGATTCGTGAGTTTGGTGTTGAAGGGATTCTGATTGTCGTGTCACGGTGATTCGTGGGTGTGGTGTTGAAGCGATTCTGATTGTAGTGTCACGGTGATTCTTGAGTGTGGTGTTAAAGGGATTCTGATTAAAGTGTCACGGTGATTCGTGAGTGTGGTGTTAAAGGGATTCTGGTTGTAGTGTCACGGTGATTCGTGAGTGCGGTGTTAAAGGGATTCTGATTGTAGCGTCACGGTGATTCGTGAGTGTGGTGTTGAAGGGATTCTGATTGTCGTGTCACGGTGATTCGTGGGTGTGGTGTTAAAGGGCTTCTGATTGTCGTGTCACGGTGATTCGTAAGTGGTGTTGAACTGATTCTGATTGTAGCGTCACGGTGATTCGTGAGTGTGGTGTTGAAGGGATTCTGATTGTCGTGTCACGGTGATTCGTGGGTGGTGTTGAAGCGATTCTGATTGTAGTGTCACGGTGATTCTTGAGTGTGGTGTTAAAGGGATTCTGATTAAAGTGTCACGGTGATTCGTGAGTGTGGTGTTAAAGGGATTCTGGTTGTAGTGTCACGGTGATTCGTGAGTGCGGTGTTAAAGGGATTCTGATTGTAGCGTCACGGTGATTCGTGAGTGTGGTGTTGAAGGGATTCTGATTGTCGTGTCACGGTGATTCGTGGGTGTGGTGTTAAAGGGCTTCTGATTGTCGTGTCACGGTGATTCGTGAGTGTGGTGTTAAAGAGATTCCAATTAAAGTGTCACGGTGATTCGTGAGTGTGGTGTTAAAGGGATTCTGATTATAGTGTCACGGTGATTCGTGAGTGTGGTGTTAAAGAGATTCCAATTAAAGTGTCACGGTGATTCGTGAGTGTGGTGTTGAAGGGATTCTGATTGTAGTGTCACGGTGATTCGTGAGTGTGAGTATACCCATGTTTTGTATAATCCAGTTAAATTAACGGTATTAACATATGTCTATCAATATCCACCAGCGTCATTTTTATTAACCAGATTAATTAAGTGGGTTAACATACCTCTTTCAACCCCACTGTCAAACAATGTTTTGTGTAGTCCAGTTTAATTAAGTGTGTTAATACATCTCTTTAAAACAAACGATTAACCAGTGTTTTGGATAATCCAGATTAAGTTACTTTAACCTAGCACTATCAATATCAACCAATGTTTTGTATACTCATTAGTGAAAGTTAATTTCGTGTATTGACATACCTCTCTCAACCACACAATGATGTGCCTGATTCAGGCGATTCAATGTTGTCGTTATGATGTGGCTCAGATAAATAAATTCATTAATCACGGATCACTCTCAAGGTCAAATCACACATCTCTCAGAGATTAATAGACGTGCTCACTAGTTTCTTTAGTTTAGGATACTTATACAACACACCTGATGATAGAAAACCGCAGCACAGCTTATACCAAACGTGTCGTTTGACCAATATGTTTATTTGTAATATTTCAAAATCATGTTTCAAATTGTGCACAATTCTCTACACAAACACTTCGAACACAATAATGTTTCATGCACATCCGATTCCACTACCCCCGTGACGGGCACATGCGCCTCATTTCCCGCGGCCCGCGACATCCACCTTCTTCCGGTATGCACGTCCTCCTCCGGAACTGGAAGGTAACTCTGGTTGAACAGTCTGACGCGGCGGACCAGCTTGACCACTGAGGCTGTTGTTCTCTCCACTTGGTCAGGTCCAGACGAGGCAAGCTGTAACACGGGACACGGTGATTCCTGGAGACAAGAAATACATGAAATACATTTAACATGCGCATGTTTGCAATATAGGTCTGTAGCAAGAGAATCGGTTGTTTCTGGAGTAGCGGAACATATAACGGATTCTCTATATATGTCTGTACCATGTGACTTGTTTCATTGTAAAAATATTCAACACACATTTCCAGAGTATGCATTTGTCTTATTGCAAGTATTTGTGAGTGTGATGAAATTTGATGCCAAGAAAATGCAAGTTAAAATGTTTAAGCTCTCTGTATACAGAATTTGTTAAATTAACTTAAATTAATTTTATTTTTCACATGTTGACAACTTTTTCAAAACTTCATTTTATCTAAGTTAGTAGTATGTTGTAACCACACTCAAGATGACTGAAAGTACATGTACATGTTATTGGATGAATGTCCTGTCACGTGACTGATTGATTTGGTTTTGCGCTGCGTTGCAAAGAAATGCCTGTTTGTTAGCTGTATTCTTGTGGGGGGAAGCCAGACGGAGTTAATGTTTTAGACGGTCACTTTGGTGAAACCCACGAGCATGGGCATGGCGCTGACAAACCTAGAAATATATTCTGGGCGAACCGGGATTCTGTCTCATGATAATAGGTTCCTGGCGCACTTAAAGGACGCAACTCTGCACAGCGAATTGCGGCCCCATAGACGAAAGAGAATTCATGCAATATCCCTACTGCATCGCTGCCCGAAGTTGTTATTAGGGTATCGAAATCAGCCGAATGAACCCGTAAATGCGTACGTACGATGCGGACTTGAGTCTGAAGGCATCTCTCTGGACGTGGAAGGTATTGGTGTTGTCACACACGATGCGGGACAGGGTGGTCTTTCGAATCTCCAACAGCTGATCTGGAAGAATAGTTCAGTTTAATGAGAATCGTGGACATGTATACGACTTTAACTTATAATGAATAACAACAGCGACTGTCATTGTTTGCAGGTTTTACAATACGTCGCTTTGTTATCAGCCATGATGTCATGTTCCGGATTCGAAGACTCAGTTCGATCATTATATTGCATAAAAAGCTATTAATTAGTGCTTTGATTGGAGGTTTACCGTTACCAAACCGACTTCCACCTCGTAGAGTTTACAGTTAAGTAGCATCTAGAGAAAGGAACAATAATAGAGATGAAAAAGTGCCAGCTGTGACATTCACGTAAATGTATCAACTCACCTACAACTGAAGTGTATACATACAGGGTACCTTAGCGTCCTAGTCCCCGTTCTCCAAAGCAATCTGAGCCCCACGACTGTCGTAAGTGTATTTTGAAGAAATTAAGTTACGATCGCCTTAGCACTAAGACCATGTGTAGAACGGTTCACTGGGCACCGTTCTCCAAAGCGATCTGAGCCCCACGACTGTCGTAAGTGTATTTTGAAGAAATTAAGTTACGATCGCCTTAGCACTAAGACCATGTGTAGAACGGTTCACTGGGCACCGTTCTCCAAAGCGATCTGAGCCCCACGACTGTCGTAAGTGTATTTTGAAGAAATTAAGTTACGATCGCCTTAGCACTAAGACCATGTGTAGAACGGTTCACTGGGCACCGTTCTCCAAAGCGATCTGAGCCCCACGACTGTCGTAAGTGTATTTTGAAGAAATTAAGTTACGATCGCCTTAGCACTAAGACCATGTGTAGAACGGTTCACTGGGCACCGTTCTCCAAAGCGATCTGAGCCCCACGACTGTCGTAAGTGTATTTTGAAGAAATTAAGTTACGATCGCCTTAGCACTAAGACCATGTGTAGAACGGTTCACTGGGCACCGTTCTCCAAAGCGATCTGAGCCCCACGACTGTCGTAAGTGTATTTTGAAGAAATTAAGTTACGATCGCCTTAGCACTAAGACCATGTGTAGAACGGTTCACTGGGCACCGTTCTCCAAAGCGATCTGAGCCCCACGACTGTCGTAAGTGTATTTTGAAGAAATTAAGTTACGATCGCCTTAGCACTAAGACCATGTGTAGAACGGTTCACTGGGCACCGTTCTCCAAAGCGATCTGAGCCCCACGACTGTCGTAAGTGTATTTTGAAGAAATTAAGTTACGATCGCCTTAGCCCTAAGACCATGTGTAGAACGGTTCACTGGTCCCCGTTCTCCAAAGCGATCTGAGCCCCACGACTGTCGTAAGTGTATTTTGAAGAAATTAAGTTACGATCGCCTTAGCACTAAGACCATGTGTAGAACGGTTCACTGGGCACCGTTCTCCAAAGCGATCTGAGCCCCACGACTGTCGTAAGTGTATTTTGAAGAAATTAAGTTACGATCGCCTTAGCACTAAGACCATGTGTAGAACGGTTCACTGGGCACCGTTCTCCAAAGCGATCTGAGCCCCATGACTGTCGTAAGTGTATTTTGAAGAAATTAAGTTACGATCGCCTTAGCACTAAGACCATGTGTAGAACGGTTCACTTGCCTCCGTTCTACAAAGCGATCTGAGACGTTCGACTGTCGTAAGTGTATTTGAAGAATGTGAGTTACAGTCGCCTTAGCGCCAAGACCATGTGTAGAACGGTTCACTGTGCCCCGTCCGGCAAAGCGATCTGAGCGCTCCGACTGTCGTAAGTCTGTATTAAAGATCACCTTAACGCTAAGATCACCTTTTGCAAAAGCACTGACCAGCAGTAGACATGCCTGCTGAGAAATGTTCGATTGTCGTGTTATCCATGCCATCAGGTACTTCTGGGTTCGAATCTCGATTATGTTTCTAGGTTTGTCAGCACCATACCCGTGCTCGTGGGTTTCACCGAAGTGGTAAACGTCTCAGACCTGGATCACGTCGGGCTTTTCTCCCACATTAAGCTGACACGCCGTGATATAACTGGAATAATGTTAAAAGCGGCGTTAACCCCAACTCACGCTCTGTGAAATACTTTTCACTCACCCGGTGTAAACCGCGTGACAGGGTCACTGAGCTCATACCAGAACCGATCCCCTCTCTTCAAGGCTGAAAACTGACGTCCCAGTAGACAGGTAAACAGGGGTCCAACTAAACTCTTTTCGATTGGTTTCTCCGAGACCCCTCCAGTAAACAGGTCAATATCCTCAGGATCCCTGTAAAAAGTTTAATGAGTTATAGACGAAGGCTTTCGCGAAGAACCGGGTTAGAATGGGTTCTCAGCAACCCATGCTTACGGGATCGGGTGGTCAGACCTCGCTGACATAGTTGATGCATGTCATCGCATCCCATTTGCGTAGATCGATGCTCTTGATGTCAAATGGACAGCCTGGTCCAGACTCGATAATATACAGATCGCCGTCATATGACTAGAATATTGCTGAGTACGGCCTCAATGAACAATCAACCCACCAACCAACCAAAGAAAGAAAGAAAGAAACAAACAAATATAGACTGAATAAGTGCATGTTATTCTACGCCGCATTCAGCGATATGAAAGCCACAAAATAATGATGTCGGCTGTGAGCAGTAGGGACGAGCCAAGCAACTGGTGCACGGTGACACACCCCTCCTGTTCGTTCATTGTACCCACCCAATCCTCATTAGCCGTCTTACGACAAGCATGGGACACTGAGTTCCGGAATCCTCGCTGATCTTTCAGTATTCATTTAACGGCTGGGATTCAACATGGTATATCATGGCATGGAAACTACTTCTCCAAAGTAAACATAATGACAAGCTCAAACGTTAATTTGTTTCGTGTTTGCAAATTTCGGAGTGATGCCATTGAACATATACACTCAATCCCCGTTAATCCGAACGGTGAAATATCTCGTTTCCGGATTAAAGAATCATGGTTTAGAGTAATGTCCCTTTGATAAGGTAGCACTTTTATAATGATGGCCCAACAGGAGTGGTTTCCAGACTAACGAGGTCTGGATTAACGAATCATGGTTTAGAGTAATGTCCCTTTGATTAGGTAGCACTTTCATAATGATGGCCAGACAGGAGTGGTTTCCAGACTAACGAGGTTACTCGGTATGCAAAAGAAATGAATTTTTTTTAAATTGATGTTTTAGGAAAAGTGCTGTGAAACACACTGTGTAATGCGAAACATGTGCAGAGACTAACTTGTAGACAGATTCCAGAAGTCTTGCAGTGTGGGGATCATGGTCCACGAGTCCTCCATGGGAAGGTCGGAAGTTGTACACCCCGGGTAGACCACACAGCTGCCTGAACGCCGAATACCCCGGCAAACCATGGTCCCGACCCCGCTGGATGTTGAAAGCGGCCAGATCGAGGCTGTTGTTATTGACGAGAAACAGCCTGTCTGTCAGATCCGTCGACATGAAGCGGTCAACCGGATTCGCTCTGTCGTTCAACTCACCCCTTACATAGTCACCAACAGCTTCCCCATCACTTGACCCGGTGTTGAGGAACACCCGGAACAAACGCTCAAACCTCCTTGTGGAGAAGTCCGGCCGCACTCTGCTGACCACAGATCTAGGAATGGAGTGTCCGAACCGAAATGCGGCTGTCGAAAACGCGTTAACGATGCTTGCGTCAGTGGATCTACTATAAACGTTATAGTATCCGTATCTGGGGGACCCCAGTTTATACTTGGCGAGGGCGAACTTGTTCAGAACGAGCGGAAGGAAATGGTTATAAGTAATCTTCTGGACGATGGCGCCAATAATTCTCCTGGTCTCCTGAAAGAGTCTTTCGTCATTCCAATGTGGGTTGATCTTCTTGAGAGACCGGGCTGTTCTGTTATGCTCTCTCATGAATATGGTCTGTATACTTGACACCCCCATCGACGTTTTCAATAAACCTGACAAAATATCATCATAAAGCATGAATCAAATATTTACCGTTGACAATACAGACTTAATATCTATTCGAACATTTGAAATTTACACTAAAGGGAAGAAGAAAGTCAGTCTGAAGAAATGTTCAAACATTGTTTGTCACTTAATCTTATTATGCCCCAAACAATAATGATGGAGCAAAACATCTTATCCAACCGAGAGGGCTTATTTGTTTTATGAAAAGACGACGTCGTAAAGAAAAGCGGCACACCATTAGTCATAAGAACTCCCCGCTGAAAGCAAAATCCATTGTACGTTTCCGACTATATCATCAGCGCGACTATCAAATAATCATTATGCCATGTGCTCGCGAACAAGTCCTGCCCAATGGTGGTACATATACATATTCACCATCAACCATGGCCCTGAGGCCTGCGGCCTCTTCAGCAGTCGTCCCATACAGAGGGGAGGCGTCGATGTACGCCGTCCGTTGGTTGAGCTGCTCCGCTGGCACTGCAAGACACAGCACATAGAGACACCAGAGAGGTGAATTGTTTAGATGAACTGAGGATTTGGCAAAGGCACATTACTCTGAATGGTATTTGGTGAGTATTTATAGACCCGTGAATGTATATTAAGATGATGAGGAAAGCCTGCTGGTTATTTAATGATTCCTTTTAAATTTCAAATATTGAAAGTGACAAAACTTACTGTCATGCACATATTTGGTTTCTATAAAAAGTCAACCCTAATCCCCTACAAGCCGTAGTATCAAGTTGCAAACTACCCGAGTTAATGTCGTTATGTGATGTCTGTGAGTGAGTGAGGTATGCTTAACGGGTTTTGGTAGGGTGGTAACAGTATTCCAGTTATATCACGGCGTGTCAGCTTAATGTGGGAGGAAAGCCCGAAGTGATGCAGGTCTTAGACGTTTACCACTTCGGTGAAACCCACCAGCATGGTTGTGGTGCTGACAAAACTGGTAACATAATCGGGGTGAACCGGGATTCGAACCCACAATCATAGGTTTCCTGAGTGCCCAAGGGACGCGACTCTGTAAGCGAATCGCGGCGCCCTGGATAAGTAGTCAGCTCGATCGCTTCTGGTCAATCCTGGTGAGAATTGGTTCCCTGTAACCTAAGTGTGTCGTGCAAGGCGATTAAAATAGATGTGGTCAAACACAATGACCTGATTGATTGCGTGTCATCGTACCCTGGTGTTGTCTGTCCCAGACACTATTATAAACAGGCCTCCGTTTTATAGCTGGAATATGCTGAGTGTTCGTTTAACAAGAAACAAACAGACATACTGCAAACCTCCACATGATGCTTTCTAGGAACGACTCATGAGACTTTAACTTATTGGCCCAAGATTTTGATTTTGTTTATATATTAAACTACCATGGATACAAGGACATGGTTTTAGGGTGGCCCAGTCGTCTGAGGTGCCGCTGTGCAGAGTTGCATCCCTTGTTCGTACGAGGAACCAATGATCCTGCGTTCAAACTCGGGGGTTTCGCCAAAGGGGTAAACGTCTAAGACCTGCAGCACATCGGGCGTTTCTCCCAAATCAAGTTGATACGCCGTGATAGGACTGGATGCTGTTCAAAGCGGCGTTTAAATCACCTCACTCACTCACCGATATCCAGAACCTACGGAGACGTGTTGGGGACATACCTCCAGTGCACTGCGGATTCTCTACCTGTATAGACCGGGGAAAGTGCATGCATCTCCTACGGAAGAACCTGTCCCCTTGGGGGATATCGATAGGGAAACACCCGTCTCTGTGAACACAAATATTGTAGGTGTGTATCCTAAAAAGAAATATTTCTGTTGCACCCCAATCATGTTGTCAGCAGATATTTCCCAAATCTTTTCATGTTTTTAATCAAGGTCCTCACGTGATTTGATGCATTTCGTGGTGTAAGATCTTGATTATCGATCTTGATTATCGATTAGATCGTCCTGTTTGGGCGCCACCATTTTGTGTCAAGCAAACACAAGTGATACGAGAGGTGGAATCTGATTGGTCCATAGTAGAAGCTTAGAAGGGACATAACTGGTAATAGCCACTGGTGGCGCTACGATCGAGTCCAGTAATTCCAGCCTAGTTCGGCAAGGGTGGAAACTTGACTTTTGAAGTCAGTTAACTCTCTTGCCTCGGGAAGATGAGTTTCGTACAGATGATCTGCATCATACGCGTATTTTAGGGTTTCACAACAGCGATAAATGTTTACGGGCGGCGTCACATTGCCACATTATTCAAGGATGCCGAGCACATTAAGCTGACACACATACAATTGAAATGCTATTATGAGTGGCATACGTAGACCCTATTACTGTCATCGCCACTTGAAAAATATCAATGATAATATTCATGCTTGCAAAATGGATGTTCTTTTTTAATGGGGGCACGGGTGGCCCAGTTGTCTAAGGTGCCGCGATTCGATGTGCAGAGTTGCGTTCCTAGGGCACGCCAGACACCTATAATTGTGGGTTCGAATCCCGGCTCGCCCCGATTATGTTTCTAGGTCAGCACCATACCCGTGCTCATGGATTTCACCGAAGTGGTAAACGTCTGAGACCTGCATCACTGGTCCTGTTGACCAATCAGCTTCCACCTCTCATATACCTTGCATTAACTTTAAACAAAATGGCGGCGCTAGTGAAGATAATTTGTTCGATAATCGAGATCTATATTGACTTTGCGGAGTGCATCAAATCACGTGAGCACCTTTATTAAAAACGTGAAAAGATTTGGAAATTTTCTGTTGAAGGAATGTTGGCGGTACACATGACTTGCAAATCCTGCAATCGACCGAAATCCTCACTGCAGTTTAAGAACCAGATGTCGATTTCGTTACGCGATTTTGATTGGATTATGCAATGACTCGTTAATCCAGCCAAAACATAACTCCATTATTCCAGCCTATTTTGGCAAGGATGAAAACTGGACTTGTATAGTCTTGTATAGGACTTGTACTTGTCAATTCCCTTGACTTCGGAAGATGTCGACATGTGGTTATGGTACTTTTCATGGACTGCTCATTCCTTTGTCCTGAGAGACAACCATAATTCGTAAGGCATTAACGCCTGCAACGGACAATTTTATGACCACGGACCAGTGGATTGAATTATGGTAAGTATAATTATCTTGCCATATGTCTTCCCAGGTAATAATACTCATATATTCGACAAGTTTAAAGAAGCTCTTTCGTCGAATCTTGTTGTGAATGCGACATCTTGCTTGATAGTAATGAAAGAACGATGTTACCAAGGATACGCTAGATCACGGGGGAGGTAATCTGAACAGCGCCATGACGTGAATATATTATGACTTAACTCAGAAAGTGTACGCAGGATAAAGTACAGCAGGCGCCTTTGATCTCTTAGCGAAGCATCTTAGAAACACATGTAGTACCTAAGAGCCGTGTCAAGAATCCCCTTCAGCAGAGGCGGAAGGTCTTCAGGACAACACGTCAGAGGTCGACCGTCAAGTCCTGTATAAAAGACACGAGCTGTTATATTTACCACTGTGTTTGACAAAAATAAAAATAAAAATAAATAACCCAAAACAAAACTGTTGAATATTTAAAAGAAGCAAAAGATGCAACAAATTACACAAAACAAAATTATAAGCAAATTGAACGCGATTGTTACACACAACTGTGGAATATGATGAACAAACACACTGACGCCCCGCGGTTTACACACACGCACACACACACGCACGCACACACGCACACACACACACACACACACAACAAAAACAAAACAAACCCCACAAACAAACAAAAAACAAAAACAAAACAAACCCCACAAACAAACAAAAAACAAAAAAACACACACACACACACGCATCATCGTACACTCCCAGACAATTACAGACACACATAAACACATTCACGCACACAATCATATACAGACACACACACATATATCACACACATTAACGCATTCTCGTAGAAACATACACATAGACACACAGACACACAGACACACAGATAGACAGACAGACACACACACACACACACACACACACACACACACACACACACACACACACACACACACACACACACACACACACACACACACACACCCAGTTTCTTTCAGTTAAATGTATTTTCTTTTACCATTTTCCAGTTTCAATTGGGAGATTGTGATTGGAGGTTCTAAATTGTAATAAGTCTTACCAAATACTTACTTTCATTTTTAAATAACTTTTGAAATTCAGGGATTCATACCATGGTATGCATGGCTCCTTTGTAATATATATGTCGGGTGACTTTCCAGCATTGTAAATTGATATCATTTAATTTGTTCTTATTCATATTTTTAAGATGATTTGGACTATGAAAACTTTGTGATTGCCAAATGAAACTTTGACCAAGATCGTCGAAGATTTGTTTTACAAACGTTATCCATTTATGTTTGCGTCTTTGAAATAGGTTATCATTATATCAAAGCTTGTAAATCAGTAAAGATAATTTTGATGATTTTCCGGGTCGGAGTTTTGCCCCAAAAGAGACCATTCTGATCTTAGGTACATTTATTACAGAAGATCGTCCAAGTTCGCCATAAACCGTATAATTTGGGGTACTAGTCCGACACATACAAGCACACCCAAACGCACTAACGCACAATCGTGCACACACATACACGCTCACAGACACTCACACACACGCATACAGACAAACACACACACAGGCACAATCACACGCATACAAACAAACACATACACAGACACTCACACACGCATACAAACAAACACACACACAGATACAATCACACACACACGCACACAAACAAACACACACTCACAGACAGACACACTCACGCAAACACACTTACACACATAGACACACACACACACACGCACGCAGTTGGACGTCGGACGCACCTGTCCTTATTGGCGTGCTTGTGATGTCGAGGGCCAGGAACAGCCCCCACTGCGTCAGTATTTGGGAGATGAATTTCATCTGAGGGGCCTTGTCGTCGGGGGCGTGGACGGTGGTGCTGACCAGTCGGGCACTTGGCAGAGGATCGCTGAACACACCACGAGTACGTGGACTGCGTATTCCTTAACATTCAATGAGGTGAGTGAGTTGAGTCTAACTATACTTTGAACAGTATCCGAGGCAAGAGAGTTAACTGACTTTAAATGTCCAGTTTCCACCCTTGCCGAACTAGACTGGAATTCCTGGGCTCGATCGCAGCTCCACCAGTGGTGATTACGAGTTGTGACCCTTCTAAACCTCTTCCATGGACCAATCAGTTTCCACCTCTCGTATCACTTGCATTTGTTTCAAACAAAATGGCGGCGCCAAGTCAAGACGATCTGATCGATAATCAAGATCCATATTGTGATAAATCGGGTCTTACATCGCGAAGTGCAGCAAATCACGTGAGCACCTTTATTAAAAACATGAAAAGTTTGGGAAAATATCTGTTGACAAGGAGTTGGCGGTGCACATGCTTTGCATGCGCAAATCCTGCAATCGACCGAAATCTGCACGACAGTTTACGAAACGGATGCAGATTTCGTTGCGCGATTTTGATTGGACAATGCACAGACTCGTTAGTCCAGCCATATTGAGACTCCATAATACCAGCCTAATTCGGCAAGGGTGGAAACTGGACTTTTATAGTCAGTTAACTCTCTTGCATCGGGAAGATGATGCGTGGTAGAGTGCTGCCAAAACATGAATAATCATCAGGGTGAATCTGGGACTCGAACCCATGATCATGGGCTCCTGGCACAACAAGGGGCGCAAATCCACGTAGCCTTAGACCACTGGACCATCATACACACAGAGGAAAGATGAATACTTATATACACATGTACAGCATTCTATTATATCTTAGTGAGCGGTTTAACGTCGCGTTTATCTACATAACAGCAATGTAAAGGTGAGTGGGTAAGTGCGTGAGTTGGTTGTATCACTGCGTAATGTGAGAGGAAAGCCCGAAATGACGAATATTTACCTCTCTGGAGGCCCACGAGCACGAACATGACAAACCTCGAAATACAATCTGAACCAACCTGGTCTTTAAACCTACGATCATAGGTTTCTGGCACGCCAAAGGGAGGCAACTCTTCACAGCGAAGAGCGGCGTCTCAAACGACCTGTGCCAATGGATACAAAGGACGTTCCTTTCTGGTGTCGAGACTACCGAAATGATAGCATTACAGCCATATGGGTACCAAGCAGTACTTGATGTCCAGCTTGATAGATCACTCCTGTTCTTGTGGGACTACCGTTTAAGAACATATGATCAGTAGCTTGTCCTAGAAACAGACCGGTTGACTAGGTGCTTAAAATGTGTGACCCGTGTCATAAAATATCTCGAAGATCGTCTCATGCAAAGAGCCATTCTTCTATGTGGCCCATGCTCTAAGCAGTGATATAGTGGCTCACGGACTTGTGTGTCGCCATGCCTTATCGACAAATATAACACGCTCATGCTATCAATCACTAGTTTACTGTTTTAGTTTCGTGTTGTCTATGGTGTACGTAATTGTAAAGCTTCAACGCCAGGGAATAATCAGTCTCAAGTATATGCCGAAACAGATTCATTTGGGCGTAACAGTTAACGCAAAAGGGGACAACTGCTTGAGTGGATCATAGATATTCAGTAATGACAATAGTACCACCAATTACCCTTCAATCACCGGACTTCAAGAACCACTACTAACCGTCATTATACTTGGGCAGCAAGTAGCGTCTCTGTGGTGTATTGGACATTCCCCATGTTGGGTTGTTGAGGTTGTTGCAGCTGCCGTCGGCTGTGCGGTAGATGCTTGAGTTGTCACAGACGCCCATGAAGGCTGAACACACCCCAACCTTTGGAATTGCCATCATCGCCTGCTTCATGGTGTCCTCGAATTCCTGAAGGGTCGCACCAGGCCGGGGTCTTGGCGGAAATAGGAAAATGAAATGGGCTAATATATTAATATTGTTGGAATTAAATGGATTAACTGGAAACATTGAAATATATAAAGGTATACACTGTCGTCTTCAATAGCCAGGTCTATTATAGTTGTTCCGTTCGGTGAGAGTGAGTGAGTGAGTACGGTTTTACTCCGCTTTTAGCACTATTCTAGCAATATCACGGCGGGGGACACCAGAAATGGGCTTCACACATTGTACCCATGTCGGGAATCGAACCCGGGTCTTCGGCGTGACGAGCGAACGCGTTAACCACTAGGCTACCCGACCGCCCCCTTTTGGTGAGGGTTTCAATTATCATGAAAACTGTTCGTCTACATCAAACCTAACGATGAAAGGGATCTTTAAAGTATACAAGGCACAAAATGAAACTGCATATGAGTAAGGTATGTTAACACCAATTGGTTGAGGTAATTCAATTGACAGATTCTGAAACGTTCCGTTCTATTTTAAGCATATGAAACAAGTTAATATAACCGTGACTGTCTGATTGAAAAATGCACATTTCAAACTAAAACATAAATAATAAAAAAGGGTTAAGGGTATATCGTAGTACGAGCGCTGGTCAAAAAGTTCTAAACCTAACAAACAAAACCGACAATTTTGAAAGTGTTTTTATTTATTTTTTCAACATACTTTCCCTGCTTTTCAATACACTTCTCATATCGATCGTTATGCTATTCAATTCCAGTCAGGAAGAAGTTTTCTGAAGCCACACTGAAAAACCCATTCACGGCAGCTTTGAGGTCATCGTTGTCGTCATAGTGGTATCCACGAAGGCGTTCTTTCAGTTTAGGAAACAGGTGGAAATCCTTTTTGACTTTCAAAGTAATCAACAAGTGAGTGAGTGTGTATGGTTTTACGCCGCTTTTAGCAATATTCCAACAATATCACGGCGGGGGACACCAGTAATGCGCTTCACACATTGTACCCATGTCGGGAATCGAACCCGGGTCTTCGGCGTGACGAGCGAACGCTTTAACCACTAGGCTATCCGACCACACCAGTAATCAACACGGATCACACACTTTGCATGCCAGAATAAGTGGCCATAACTTTCTTCACTGATCTTGAAGACTTGAATTTCTTTGGTGCCGGAGAAGTGGAATGGTACCATTCCATGGATTGACGTTTTGACTCGAGATCATAGTGGTAGACCCATGTTTCATCACCCGTTACTAATCTCTTTTTGAACTTGACGAAATCCTCTTCAATTAGCTTTAAAATTTCTCTGGCAATGTCAGTTCTTTGTTTCTTAAGATCAGAATTAAGAAACTTTGGCACCCAACGAGCAGATGTCTTATTCATTATTCTGTAAATGTTCATGAATAATCGTTTCACTGGATCCATGGCCTAGACCTGCGTCTTCCTCAAGTTCAGCAATGGTAATACGTCTATCTGACAGTATAATTGTTTCTATCTCCTTGATTGAATCTTGATTGAGGGACGTCCAGACCTAGGGTCACCATCAAGGCTTGTTCTCCCAGCCTTAAGCAGAGCTGCCCAACGTTTAACAGTGGAATAGCTGGGGCACTTATCCCCCTACACTTGTGACATGCGGAGTACTTTTCTCAAGTCAAAAGCGGTATTCGTTCTTTTCTGTGTCCATTTTAAGCCCTATCACGTTCAACTGGCTGTCACTAATATACATACGGCCACAACAGACCAAAAACAGTGCAATGAACTACTCAATCGGTGAACTACATTGACTTGTTCACTTTGTTCACTTTGTTATGACCCATAGTAAGTCAGGCTTAGATCGTTTTGACCAGCCCTCGTAATCAGATATCTTGTCATTGTCGGCTTCCGTTTCCTGTATGAGAGAGTACTATTAGTCACACAGCAACAACACATTTGGGAACACAATTTTAAATACACGATTAAATACCTGCCAACTTTTTAAATTTCCTAGTTACTATAAACTTAACTTCTTCTATTTGTACATTTTTGTGTTAATCTTGAACCAAGTTCTTTGTAAGCCCCACCAGCCGGCTCCTTTTCTGACCTGGAATCCACATTGGGTCACTACGACTTCAAGGATTTCTACAATGAACATACTGTAGGACGTTGGGCACATATATCTTAAAGTCATTTGGAGAATTTCTTATAAGATTATGACACCAATAGAATATGCGTCACTTTGAGATAAAACACACGATTTTACTCAATCGTTTGGACGTCTCCAGGCGACGTATCAATCATCGATGTATTCAAATAGCTGTATGTTATAGAGACTTGTCCATCAAAATGTAGTGACTTGGCCTAGACTCACCCGGGTGCTGCGTTCCTAGCTGCTGTTATGCGGTTCAAAAACTGGTCGCCAAGTGCACGAGCTATAGCGCCGCTACCTGAAAATGCGGTGTGCGAGGCTCGAGCAGACGGCCTTGAAGAATCTACATCTACAACAGAAACGACCAATCGTAATACAAAATGTGGTGTATTGGTTCTTGACTATCAATCAAATGTACAGAAGATTCCTGCATTACGATCAATCTCAATACATCATTGCAATGTATTGGGTTCTTGACTATCAATCAATTGTACAGAAGATTCCTGCATTACGATCAATCTCAATACATCATTGCAATGTATTGGGTTCTTGACTAGCAATCAAATGTACAGAAGTATTCTCCAAGGACGACTAATCTCAATACATCATTGCAATGTATTGGGTTCTTGACTATCAATCAAATGTACAGAAGTATTCTCCAAGGACGACTAATCTCAATACATCATTGCAATGTATTGGGTTCTTGACTATCAATCAAATGTACAGAAGTATTCTCCAAGGACGACTAATCTCAATACATCATTGCAATGTATTGGGTTCTTGACTATCAATCAAATGTACAGAAGTATTCTCCAAGGACGATCAATCTCAATACAACATTGCAATGTATTGGGTTCTTGAATGTCAATCAAATTTAAGCAGATTCATTGGATACAATGAGGTGAAATGCGCTTTATCCACGCGTTAAGATTTATAAAACGACGTGCATGCACATGTGTGTGTGTGTGGCTGTGTGTGTGTGTGTGGCTGTTTGTACTATTCCGAATTAATGCCGATTTTATAGTGCCAGTCCACTGAGATACCATGCTGCATTTTAACATGAATTCCCCACTCAGACACAATATACTGACTCCGTGCCGACGACTCCTTGTTTTAGCCCCTACATACAGAGAGCCAGGCAGGGTACCAACAAGTACCATCTTTTAACGTCTTTTGGTATGACGCGGCTTGGCATTGAACCCGGAACCTTCCGCTCTCCGGGAGGACGCTCTATCACCAGAGCACGACGTTAAACGCCATTACACCTCACCTTACGAAACACGTGTAGTTTCTATAGTATGTCACTTCGCGTTTTCTCGGTCAGAAACATGGTAAGTGGATCTTACGAGAACGAGTGAAATATTCTTTACATACTGAACAAAAAAGTTAGGGAACATAAACATGTGGAGGATACACCCTGGGAATCTTTTTGAGATCTATTTAACCCACTGGGTTGGTTGGTTGGTTGGTTTGTTGTTTTAAGCCGCACTCAGCAATATTCTAGCTATATGACGGCGGTCTGTACATAATCGAACTTGGACCAGACAATCTAGCGATTGATATCATGAGCATCGATCCACGCAATTGGGATCAATGACAAGCATCAACGAAGTCAGCGAGCCTGACCAGCGATCCCGTCTGTCGCCTTTTACGACAAGCACAGTCGCCTTTTACGACAAGCATGGGTTGCTGAAGATCTCCCAGATCTTCACGGGTTTAACCCACTGGGAATATTTCTATGAAATGTATTAGACATGGTCGCACCGATCGTATGACTGTGAACTACCTTCATGAGCACTACAGCATGCGTGTACCGCCTTTACCTTCGTTTCACAGGGGTATTATTTTGGATCGTCTCACGAGGGTATTATTTTGGATCGTCTCTCAAGACCTTCTCATACTCATACACAAATCTGCTTTAAACGTTTTTTTCCAAATTCATTCGACTTGCGAGAAATACTGAGGTATGTTTAAGCAAGAAAACATACCTGTTATCGCAAACTGGCGGTCGAGTTGAAGCTGGAAAGCGAAGTCATTTTTAGCCGACTGTATTCCGACAACGGGCTGTGGCATCACCAACCCAAAACAGCCAATCAGAAAACATGCCCCTGGAAGCCATTGTTTTGGAATCATGCCAGACCGTTTACTGGTCCACTGCTTGAAAAGATCGCCGATGTCCAGTGAATGTAGTACACTGTAAAAAAAGTGTTTAGAATGTAAGCACAAACAAGACATGTTTAGATTTAAACATGTTTAGGAATGTGTTTCAATCGTAAACGGAATGCACATTCGGTGTGTCTTTGGGTGTAAACACATGAAATGAGATATCGTCTCACAGTCTAAAAAACACCGAAACACAACATCCTAATTATCTAAACATGTTAGGAATTTTAACATGTTTTCATACTAAACATATTCAGACGTTTAAACATGTTTAGTGTTTAAACATATTTATAATTAAACCCCATTTAAATATGTTCATGAAACATATAAAATAAAGATCGAACGGTCAAATATGCAACGGTTACAATACTTGAGGGGGAAAAGCACATTTTCAGATCTAGAGAGTGCATTATGTCATGACATACATTATGACCTATGACTGCATTTGTAAGTAACATCGATATAATTATGCTTAAACAATATTCATGTGTTTTCATGCATGTATGAAATGGCCTATAACCTGAAGTGATGACCTTTCCTGTCCCGAGGTGATGACCTCACATTTTCACAGGTGCAAATGTCATCTGAGTTGGGGGTTATTTGTATTTTATTGAGATATGCGTTGACGGGGTAGCAATTAAGATATGTACTGCGTTAAATTTGCTTGGAAACATGATGGAATAGTTGAAAGCAATGAAACGGGATGAGTATTGGAAGGTTGTTTTTTTTTAATGAAGAAGTATTTGTTGTTCTACAGGTGGTTTCCTTAGCCAGCATGTGACTCGGCTGATGACGTATCTGAATAGGTGTTATCACCCAAAAGTATGATAACTAGTTCAACAAGGTTGCGATCTACACTGACCAACACTCTCTCACACACACACACACAGACATACACACATACATACCCACTGACACACACACACAGAGACGGACATACACACACACCGACGTACACACTGACACAGGTGGTTTTCATGTTTAAACAATTAAAAAAAAATGCCAACAACCTAAAATTTAATATGCATTGAGCTACTGTTACCTAGGACCTACATATGCACCACAATGGTCGATATTTGTGCTACGAGGGTCCGTTTAGGGACTTTTGTTGCACCAGCAGGTACACACCAAATACAGAAAATGGCGCCATACTCACCCGCGTCAAATTGGGATAAACGAACTACAGGTTACTCCGCTCTGTGTGTGTTCTAGGGATTGTTTTTTCATGAAAACGTCTGTAATGTGTTTTTTAACAAACCTTTGCAATGGGAATCTTTATCCTGAAAAGCTTGCCTCGTTTGATATTGTAAACACAAGATCTGCCAGCGGCATAACAGGGACACTTTTGTTCGACAACCGTTTGTTATTTCACGAATTGGAATTAGATTTCATGAACAGTATAAATACGAACAGTGTTATCAACTCATATAGAGACATGCTATTGTTCAAAACATGTATTCAAGCAACATTCAATAAGAATGCTCCATAAACCCCCGCTATAACGTTAACGCTGGCTATGATCGCCTTGGGTCCGTGCCATGGGACAGATGTGTTGTCGACCAATGTTTTCACCATGTGTTGTACTCTATGCGTTTACTTCTTAGTGGCGACATTAGGAAGCAACCCTGGACCAACCGACCAATCAACTCTACGCGATATGGGGGCACGATGGCCCAGTCGTCTAAGGTGCTGTGCAGAGTTGCGTCCTTTGGGCGCGCCAGTAATCTATGATTGTGGGTTCGAATTCCCGTGCTCGTAGGTTTCACCGAAGTGGTAAACATCTGCATCACTTCGGGCTTTCCTACCACATTAAGCTGACACGCCGCGATATAACTGTTATATTGTTAAAACCGACGTTATACCCAACTCACTCAAGCACTCACTCTTAGCGATATTTTGAGAGAAATCAGGGGTGTAGCTGGAGATATATGTGAACGCAAAGATGATGTGTGCAGTATTCGGAAGGCTATCACCACACTTACTCAAGAACAGCATATTATAAAAGTCGATGTCGCGGCGCTAGCAGATAAACACAATCATCGTGAGAATAAAGTTGATTCCAATACACATCGATAAGAAGAAAATCTAGACAGACTAGAATCACAAAGCAGACAAGAGAACCTATTATTTTATGGAATTGCAGAAGTAGAAAATGAAGATTCCTCTAAATCCAAAGCCATATTTTTTGAAACTATAAATACAGTCATACCACGAATGAATCGCTCTCAGAGAGACATCCAGGGGGCACAACGATTGGGAAAACCCAAAAGTGATAAAAACAGACCTATATATGCCAAATCCATAAATACCAAAGACCAAATTCTCGAAGGAGGAGCAAGGGAACAGTTTTATGCCAAACGTGTAAAATTCGGTACGTATCTCAATAAAACACAGAGAGGAAAATTAGCAGCACTTAGGCAAGAAGGAAAGAGGGTATTATGCTAACGGTACCCTACACATCGACGATGACTACACTCCTCATCAGCAACCGAAATCAAACACGACACATAGAAATCGCCCCTCAAATAGCGGTCCGTCGCAACCAGGTCCATCAGCGATAGACAAATCGGCAAAAACAGAAATATGAAGCAAGGTAAATCTCACTTTTTTCCTGGAACTGTCAGTCATTACAGAAACATTTCAACAACGAACACTTGAAACGTATACTATACTCCTACACTTTTGTTGGCCTGTTGGAGACATGGTTTTACTTGTATCAGAATTGCTCAGATATTTTACCATCGCATTGTTTGATTCTCTTTTTGTAGAGACAAGGGCAAAGATGTTTGGGTGGGGCTATTTGTCCATAAAGCTGTCATCAAAGGTGGAAAACGTATATTTAAAGGCTGTAAAGATGCTGTTTGTCTCTTAGACCATACCTTTTTCAATACTGAAAAAATCTTGTTTAAGGTTTTCTGATCTCCAGAAAGATCAACATATTATCTAAACAATGACAAAGATAGTGTGGATGAACTGGAAAATGTATTATATGACATAAATTATATGTATGATGCTGGAGTAATTCTAACAGGTGATTTTAATTGCAGAACTGGCGAAGAAGAAGACTTTATTATTGATGATAATGTCAAACATATTTTAAATGATGATGATTGCTATGAAAATGATGAGTATACAAAACCTAGAAACAATAAAGAAAAAGAAATATTTAATTTTATTACAATTTTGCAAATGTCTTTCTTTACATATATAGAATGGCAGATTTCAGGGTGACATAAAATGGAAACTTTACATGTTTTGCAAATAATGGTACAAGTAAAGTAGATTACATGTTTGCTTCGTCATAATTGTTTCTAAATGTTCACAATTTCGCTGTTCTTGACATGGATGTATCAGATCACTTCCCTATTTCCAGGTGGTTTTGCCATTATAATGGAAGGGTGTCGAGATTTTAGGATATCAAAGCTATAATGTCTTAGAATGGGTTCAAACGAAATATTTCAAGGGAATATTGAATTTACCACGCTCAGTTAGTAGCAGTGCTGCCCTTGGAGAATGCGGAAGACAAAAGATTTATACATATCATGCCACTCAAGTAATAAAATATTGGATAAAACTTATTTCTATGAATCCTTATAAATCGAAAAAACAAACATATTCAATGCTATATAGATTGGATGAATTGGGTAGATCTTCTTGGGTAACATTTATTTAAACTTTTTTATTTGAACATAAATTTAGTTTTGGTTATGTATCGATTATTCAAGGCTGCAGGGATTGTGAAATATATATTAGACAAATTAAGCAACGTATTAACGATTGCGGCCAACAAAACTGACAAAATTCGAAACTAAAAGCGTATTGTACATACAAATCTTTTTACGAATATAAACTTATCTTACTTGTGATGAAAATAGTACGTATCGGATGGCACTTTTAAATTAAACTTTTCGTTGCAGCAACCACAATATAGAAATAGAAAAAGGGAGAAAAACTGACATAGATGTTGAAAACAGAATCTGTACTTGTTGTGAACGTTATGGTTTTAATTTTGTTGAAAATTAATACTACTTTCTTCACGTGTGCACCGCATACTCAGAACTTAAACGCCACCATTTACCTCTGATATTTCACAACAATCCAAGTCTAGAAACGTACGTACCTGTCATGTCTCTTACAAATGGTAAATGTTTGTCAGACTTCTCAAAATATATCTATTTAGATTTTGAACTTAGAACATTGATAATTATTTAGATCTACATGAGCTTCACCTTGCTCAAATTTAGTCAAACTATACTCATATTGTACATTTCACCAAATATTTTTTACTCATATAGTTTAAGGTTATTTCGAGGAAGTGATGAAACGTCATGTTTACCCAATGACTAAACATTTATGAAACATTTTTCTATGGAAAATAGAAAACATTCAGAAATAAACTAGTGCCTCGGTACAGAGTTCAATTGAGTATGTGTCAGAAGTCATTCACCGCAGGCTGTGCAGCCGCTTAGTGCCCAGGAAGATACAAACAAGCTGATCCTATAATTCCTGTTACAATGTAATTGTCTTTATTGTTACGGAGCTGTGCTCCAATGACTAGGGGTGTCATTAAACAAGAATAAAGTAATAATGAAAACGTGGTGATATGTTCACAGGTTTATTAATATCAGCTATTTGTACTATGACAATAAAAGGATCAAATTTACCCAATCTGAGCTGACGAAGATCACTGATTAATTAAATAAGAGCAAATACACAAGCGGTTTTAGCTACGCAAGAGTATTACAATAATAAAATGAGAGTTGCTAAAACAACACTTTGACATGATACCCACCAGATGCTTTGACAGCCAATTAAGCCGCGGCTGTGGCCAATTAACTCTAATGAGTGAATAACCTCGACTGGGTTAAATAACGGGATATAAACACAGAGGGCCTACCCCTAAACTAAGTCACTTAAACAATAAAATAGACGAGAATGTCTAAATATCAAACTAGTCTAATATACTCAAGATTCAGCCACTTTGACTGAGCAAGGAAAAATTCCAAAAAAGCTAGACAGTCACGTGTAGGT